GCAGCCTCCTCCTTCCCTCGTGCCAGCCACTCCGTTGCCCATTTCACCATTGCAGTGTGGCACCATGGAGCTTTCCCCACCCATCACCGCCCAGATGCCCTTGCTTCTCCGAAGGATTTCCTTGCCTAGCTGATTTGCAGCTCCTTCGTGTTTCTTGCCATTGTGTGCAGGGAAAGAAAAGTTTGTGTGGGGTTAAAAAAAAAGTTAAATCAATTGCGATCTTTCTCTTTTGCTAGAAATTGGAATTGATTGATTTAACTTTTTTTTAGCCCCACACAAACTTTTCTTTCCCTGCACACAATGGCAAGAATCGTGAAGGAGCTGCAAATCAGCTAGGCAAAGAAATCCTTGGGGAATTTGTTCACCTGGCCAGCTCAGCCATGGGGCTTCCTGGCCATGGGAAACAGGAGAACGCACTGGCAGTGAAGCAAGCCAGGCAAGCCCAAGGATGGTGGGGGGATCAGCGCAGCGGCCTAGGCCAGCTGGGGAGTCAACTCAACCGGGGCTTGCTTGCAGGTTCACTCACCCAGGGAGATCAGGGCCTCAGCAAAAGGCAGGCAGCAATGGCAGGCGAAGGCAGGTTAGTAATGGTGAGCGAGATGAGGAGTGACTGGACAGTGAAGGGGTGGGAGGGGTGGCGCCAGCCAAGGGCGCAATTTACTGGTTCTCCGAACTGCGCAGAATCATAACTACCGGTTCTATAGAACCGGTCAGAACCGGTAGAATCCCACCCCGATCCTTTTTTTAAAAAAATAACATTTTATTGAGTTTTAACAAAACAAATAAAACATCTTATTTGAGTACAGCATCGTTCCGAGTTATCACATTTCCATACAGACACAATTTCATATGCATATTCATCTTATGTATTCAACTTCATAACTTATTACTCTTTTTCCAACTTCTCACTATTTCTCCCATTACTTCTCTTAATTTTCTTTTATGGTTATCTCATTTTCTTCTTATTCAATTCTATTTCTTTTACCTAAATTTCTATATCTTTTTATTCATTGTACTTATACTTTCATCTGTCTTGTTTACAATTTCATATGTACTCTTCCAACATTCTTAAAAAGCAAAATTCCCTCTATGATTGCCAATCAAAGTGCAACACCTTTAAATATTATTGTTATTATCATATGAAATCTCATTAAATATTGAATTTGTGCATTCTAAAATTATAACATTCAAATTTCTAATATCTATTTTATATCATGTAGATCTCATCATTCAGACTCTGCTTGGTACTTCCCCTTGAAAAAGTAAAAAGAAAATTTCTAAAAACATAGCAAAAACTATATCTATATCTATATAAACATTAGTAAACAAAATAGTTATTCAAAATAATTCTAGTACTGGTATGAACCTTGTAAATCTTTCACGTTTCTTTTCAATATCTATCAATCTTTGAGAACAATTGAAATGTTTCCCTCCCTTCTTCATTATTACTTAACTGTTAATAAGCATACTATTGGATAGTCATACAGTTTTATCTTATAAATTATTTACTATTAATAAGCAAAATAATTATTCATTCTAATAACTGGTATAAATTTCCTTATACATCTTTCACATTTCTTTTCAATGTTTTATCAATCTTTAGAAACAATTGCAATGTTTCCCTCTCTTTGTTATTATTGCATTAATTATAAATAAACATACCATTACAAAACAATACAGTTTTATCTCATAGATTATTTACTTATTTCATTTCTAACTCATTACAGTATTCTACTGTCACAACACTATCTTTTGTACCTTTGCAGAATCCTCACTTTTAACTAAGTTTAACCATTGTCTCTGTGTTTTCTAGCTGAGCAAATACCCTTAATCCTAGTACGTTTCCCCTTTTTCTTTATTTCCTGTTCTTGTCCTCATGAGTTCTTTCCCTTTCTATCTTCCCCCCTTTTTCTCATCCCTTTTTTTATACTCTTCTCTCTCTAATTTTCCCTTCTGTGGTTTTCTTTTCTGCTTCTCCTTGTTGTTATACTTCTTTTTCAGACTATTTTTCTTTTTGGCTGTTCCCTTTAATCTCAAACTTTTAACTCCTTTCCCCCTTTTTCCCCTTATTACCACACTTTGCATTATTTGATCCTTGAAAATGGCTTCTTCTTTGTCCCGCCCTTCTTCTTCTTGAAGCTTTTCCTTCTGCTTTTCATAGTTCAGGATCTCCATTTCAAGAAATTCAAATACGAAGCCAAAGGATCTTCCTCCCTTTCTGCATCTTCTTTCTGTTTTTTTTAAGATTCATCTTCAATTCCTCCAGGAGTGATGGCATTTTAAACACTTTTGAACAACCACCCGATTGACTTTAAGTAAAAACAGAAAAAGAAAGAAAAAAACCAATGCCAAAAACTTTTTTTTTTAATCACCAAATGATCCCAGACTGTTCCTTCCTGTTTCTTTCCTTTCCTTTCCCTTTCCATGGGTTACTCTATCTTTTAATAAGATTTCAGTTACAATGTATCCTCGGGAGCCTTTTCAAAGTTTCACTGTTAATCCTCTTTATTTTTCCAGGTGGCACTCCATTTTTCCATTATTCCAAGTCCCACCCTTTTGCCTCCACTCTTCTCCTTTTTAGGACTTTAAAATGACCAAGAAAAAAATCTTTATTCTCCTTTTGACACTTAGATTTCAGCTTAAGGTTGCCTATTAGTGTCAAAATAGATTAATATAAATTTCTTTCCATACCATTTGTAATTGTCAATATAAAGGTAAAAAAGGGGTTTTTAACCTCCTTTTCTCTCTCCTTCGCCGCTGAAAGATCTTCTTTCAAAAGTATCCCTCTAAGTACTTTTAGATTCAGGGTACCTTGCTTAGATGTTCTCTGTTGTTTAACCCGGTCTGTCCTGCTTTCCTCTTTGTCTTCCTCCTGCACAATCTAATCCAGTCGGGTTCTTCTTTGAGGCGGCCATTTCTGATCACCGCTTCGGGGAAGGGGAGTTTAGACCAGCCAAGGAGGAGAGATGCAGCTCCCCTCCACTCGGCTAGCAATCTTCCCCCTCTTCACCACCTCTACGGGGTGGCTTCAGCCCCGAATCCAAAGGATCGGGGCGCTCCAGCGGTGAGCACAGATCGAAACCGCGCACAATCGCAGATTTCAGTCTGTCGTTGAAGAAACCCAAACCGGAAGTCCACCCCGATCCTTTTTTATTATGACAAAGGTATACCAGATCGATACTTATAGAACTCTAGGTGTTGCATTACGTCTCCTGAAAACAGTTCCTTTGATTGGTTGATAGATTTGGTTGATAGGCAAAGGCTGAGGAGATGTGTTTGCTTATATGCATATTTAAAGTAATTTATAATTCATGGTCATGGTCATGAAGTGCACTGAAGATGGTGTTTGATTTCGTTGTACGAGGTGCAATGACAATAAAGTAAACTAAACTAAACTAAACTTATTTATTTATTTATTTATTTATAAATCTTGCACATTTCTTTCTTTTGTTGCTTTAGGATTTTGTAATAATATTTGTTCATATACATTCAAATAACATTGAAATAAAGGTAGAAAAATGTTATGGAGTATGTTGTTTGGGAATAAGAATTTATGTATGCTTTTCTGTGTGAAAGATGCTGTGTTGTCATTTGATAACCAATTTTTGCAGCAAATGCAAGACCATACAACAAGGAGTATCAATCTAAAAATTAATTCATCGCAGACCGAGGTAATTTTGTTTGGCAAGGAAAGTCAAGTGAAAAATTCCCAATATAAATATTCTTGGCCAAAAAGTGGAGTCAAAGATGAATTTCTGTATAGAATGATGGGTAAAGAGGGAATACATTTTGATGTCAAATCCTGATAGAGGAACAGTGGTACAAACTCCAACCACCAACTCCTATGGTGTCTTATAGGATTGCCTGGTTTGTTAAAGGAAGTCAGAGGCTTTTCTTCCTGTGTTATCTGGAAGTAGGAATTGGTACATCACGAGAAACGTACACACTGAGGAAATGGAACAGTTCCAGAGTAGTTCTGTAAAACAAGAGATCCAGTGAAGAATGTATGAATGATAACTGAATATGGGCTGATTTCAAAAGTGAAATTACTTGTGGCAGAGAGGGGGAATCAATGGGGATCCGGTTGCAAGCAAATATATGAAGGAAGAGTGGATGACCTTAGACAAAGAGGTTGAATGGGGTGAAGAGAGATGCAGAAGAGAGTCTGCTCTCTTCTGAACGGCAAACGCCAGGTGCCAGCATTGCATGGCAAACTCAGCTCCGTTGGTGTGTGTGTGTGTGAGACTAATATTGTGATGCGCTAGAAAAGGAGTCATGGTGGCATTGCAATGCCATGACGTTGCTTTCAGCCATCTGACATTTAAAGAATATTTCTACCTTCCCTTCTGGCCTTTAGAAGGGACTGAAGACTTGGCTTTACCATCTTGTTTGAGATCCAGTCATGGTGGCATGGATGCTGCTAAACAGTTACATCTTTAGCAGGCTGGATTGCACTTTTTCAGATTGTGGTTGTTATCTTTACATGGCTTTTTTCCCATTTCTTTTAGTGTTTGTAATGGCTTTTGTTGTATGGTTTTGGTTAAAGTTTGCTTGTGTGTGTGTGTGAATGTATTCATTTTGTGAGCTGCCCAGAATCCTATATGTGAGACAGACAGAGAGAAAGAATAAAAGGCATTCCCCAAAGGGAGAAAGGTTTGCAAGGTTTCCTTTCTTTTTTTCTTATCCAGTGCTTGTAATTCCTCAGCATGTTGTTTCTTTCTTCCTTCCTGGGCATCACATGACAAAAGGGAAAAGTGTGATAGGTGTGTGTCCATGGAGCTCAGGCACCCAGTCCACTATGTTGTGCCAGTCCAGCCAAAACGTGGAGAGAGTTTGAGCCTCAACTAATGGAACTGAATCTCTTGGTGAAGGGTAGTTTTGTAGCTCTTTCCTCTGTGTAAAGGCTCATTTTGAATACATTAAAAGGCCTGCTGCTTCAATGTGATGAAAGAGAAACACCTGGCTAGGTGGTCCTTATGTTCCCCTTGTCTTCACGGCAGGAGCTTTGCCGTCCTGAACCCCACCAACGCCACCTACTCTTTCCAGTGGAGGTGTGAGCAGCAGGAGGAGAGGAAGACTCCCCCAGCCTTCATCTGTTTCACTGAGCGGGGGCTCCTTCGGCCAGAGAAGAAGATAGAGGTGTGTGCGTGAAAAGGGGGGCTCAAGCCCAGAAAGCTCGGCTGCTCGGAGCCCCTTCTGCTCTGGAGCCCTCGGGGGTGGCTTGGAGGAAATTCCCGGCTTCTGGTTCAGCCCATCATAGGGCTCTTTCCTTTCTTTCCCCCAGAGTGTTGTGGCTCTCCTTCTCCGGGGGGGGGGGGGGGGGGGGCAGATACGGAATGCTGGGATATTTGCTCCTGCCTTAATCTCCTTTCCAGCAGCTTGGAAGTGAAGGCGGAAGGCTTCTCAGCTGGTAGAAAACCCTCTGTGGCCCTTCACACAGCAATGAAAGACTCACCCAAGTCTTCGATATACTGTAATATTTTAAATCTTATTTAACCTTTAAACATCCAACAGTTAAATGCTGTTTTGGAATTCTAGCACGCTTTTAAAGGCTTTGGAATTAAAACGCCAAATTCCCTGTTGTTCCATTATCCTGCCCAGTGAGAACCATCCTGTGCCAGAACTTTGCCTCTGTCTTTTCCTCTCTAGATCATATTCGAATTCATTCCCAAACATCTGGATGTTACTGAATCCTTCTGGACCTTCACCATTTCCGAACACAACATCACGGTCCCTTTCCTCCTGGTGGGCCACACCACTGACCCGGCTGTCTCTTTCGAGAAAGTCCACCTGAATCTCCACTCGCTTCTGATTGGTAAGAGCAGCCCCGGAGGACTTGGGGGCCCCAGGGCTCCTGGCTCCTCCTCCCTCTCGGTAGCCCCACGGCCTCGAAGGGCACTGCCTGCAAGGCAGCCTTCCGTCAGCTCTGCTAAAAACAGTCTTTCCACTTTAATTCTGATGTGCAGGTAATCCTCCACTTACAACAATTCCTTTAGTGGCCATTCAAAGGTACAACGACACTGCAAAAAATGACCTAGGACCGCTTTTCACAGTTCTGACATTTGCGGCATCCCCACGCTCCGTGGGATCCAAATTGAGATGCTGGGCAACTGGTTCACACTTATGACCATTGCAGCGAACCCTTTTGTGACCTTCTGACAAGCAAAGTCAATGGGGGAGCCACATTCACTTAACAACCAGATTACCAAATTATCAACTGCAGTGATTCACTTAACAGCTGGGGGAAGAAATGTCATAAAAAGGGGCAAAACTCACTTAACAAATGTCTCACTTAACAACAGAAATGTTGGGCTCAATTGCGGTTTTAAGTCGAGGACTCCCTGTAATCATTTGGATGACAAAGCAGAGAAGACCTCAGGGGACAAGGAGAAATTTCAGCTCCTGCAGCTGATTTAAACCTTCTGCTCTTTCAAGTCCACAGAAAGAAAAACGCAATGCAGACGTTAAATTGGGACACCTGGAGGAGGAGCCTCCCTTTTGCGCTTCCCACTCCTCCCTCCCTCCCTCCAAACCAGGATAAACATTTGTTTCCTGTGATTTAGGATTTCTGCTGGGGCATCTTAAAAGCACCTTGGCCTTCTTTTGCAGCCACATTGCAATCAGTTTGCTAAGATCTGTTTCACAAGTTTTTGCCAAGCCATTTTATCTCGAGTGAAATTTAATTCCTAAATTCCCTGAATTCCACATTGCAAAGGCCTCTCTCTTTCCAGGACATGAAGCTCGTGAGTGCATCCATATTCACAATGATGAGAACAAAGCCTATACTTTTGCTTTCCGAGACGCTTCCCGTTTTTCAGAGGGGCGAATCAACTGCTTGAGCGTGCAGCCCATGGAAGGGCTGGTCCTGCCTCATTCCAGGTGAAGGAGAGAGAGAATCGGGCGTTAAAGGGGGCAAGCAGCCCCTCAGGATGAGACCTGATGTGGCTTTGAGGTAGCTTAAGATAGGTTTGTGTGGCTTATAGCAGGGGTGAACAAGGGGACTGTTGTGGAGGGCCAAACTAATGTAACCTGGTTTGAGGTCCTCAAACTCCATCACCTCAACTCCTCAGGTTGCTCCAGGTAAGAGGTGTGCTGTGCAGGTGCAGAAAAGCACTTTTTCTCCTTGCTCTCCCTCAGCTGCCAGCTGACTGAAGGAGCACCCAGTGACTGCATAGAGTTGGATCTAGCCAGTGGTGGGATTCAAAATTTTTTACTACTGGTTCTGTGGGTGTTGCATGGCTTGGGGAAGGACATACTGCAAAATCCCCCTTCCCTTCCCTCCCCACCCCACTAACCTGCTTTCCAGCTCCGTTCAGCTTCTTTTTTACAGGTCAACCAAAGAAGACCCAGCCAATCAGCTGGGACTTGGGAGGCAGAGAAGAGATGGGGTTGGTGGGGCCAGTCAGAGGCGGGATTGGCCGGTTCTCCAAACTACTCAAAATTTCTGCTACCGGTTCTCCAGAATACCACCTCTGGACCCAACTTTCCTTCTTCTCCTGTAGCACATTTATTTACATTTGATTTCTCATTTCTGAATTGACTTTACATGAGCCGGCCACTGTGGGCAGGGACAGCCAAATGGTCAGTTGCAGAGGTGGGATTCAGCCAGTTCTGACCAGTTCTGGAGAACCGGTAGCGGAAATTTTGAGTAGTTTGGAGAACTGGCAAATACCACCTCTGACTGGAGATTTTACAGTATCCTTGCCCTGCCACGCCCACCAAGCCACGCCCACAGAACCGGTTGTAAAAAAAAATTGAATCTCACCACTGGTCAATTGAGGCTGAAGGGGCTATAGAATGCCTGTTCTGGCTTGCAGGATGGATGGATGGATGGGAAGAAGATGATTTAGGAGACTGACGGGGGTGGGTGGGGGGGTGCCTCAAATGTATCATACTCACTGCTGTGTTTTTTTTCTGGTTTGGTTATTTTTTGCACTCTTTCAATCTGATGTAGCCTCCCAGAATTGCAATTTGCAAGTTGGTGGCCATAAAAATTGATTAACTAAAAAATACAAGTATAGATAGTCCTCAGCTTACAACAGTTCATTTAGTGACCGATTTCATTTAGTGAAGTTACAACAGCACTGAAAAAAGGGACTTATGACCATTTTTTACACTGTTGGGACATCCCCATGGTCACATGATCACAATTCAAACCATCCCCTTTTCCAGTGGTGGGATCCAACAAATTTAACAACTGGTTTGTCCCAAAGACTAGGTGGGTGTGGCTGGGGTGGTGGTCATGTGACTGAGTGGGCATGGCCAAATCAATGTCACTCACGGCAAGGTGGGGTGGCGCAGGTGAGCTGCAATGGTGGTGGCAATGGCTAGAACCTTAGACTTACCTTTGTGCAGCAACAGCAACGGTGATTCTTCGACACTGTTGCTGGGTCTCTTTGCCCAACAGTCAAGGTTTTTAAAAAGGGTTTTGCAGCAGGAAACGGTGGGCGGCTACTTCTGGCCCTTGTTGGCACAGCTGGGCACACTTGCCCTGAGACACTGGCCTCCAGTCTCCACCTCTCTGCCAGTCAGAACTGAGCCTGTGGCAGCTGGAAGCTTCTCATGCTGGCACTGAGGCAGTGGCTTCAGGCTTCTCGATGGGGAGCTTGGCCGCCTTTCGGGCCCTGCTCTGGACTGCTGCCTGCTCAACCTCTGCTCTGCCTCGGGTCCCACATCCAGCCCGCCACAAGGGGACATGCCACTTCCAGGCCAGCCTGGCTGGCAGATGGGTAAACAGGCGGCATTTTCTCTCAGGCCTCCTACCTGGAAGGCCCCGCAGAAGCCAAAGCTGGGCCCAAAAGGCAGCTTAGCTGCATCGTGTTCCCCCCCACCAAGCGGTCCTTAGGCTCTGTGCAGCAAGCCCGGAGCGGATCTTCTTTCCTCGCCATCAGACTTAACTTCCAGCCCACGGGGTTCACATCATTTCTCACAGCAGCGGCCCGACTTGGGGCAAGGGGCAAGTGCGCGGCATATGGGCGGAGGCCCCGGGGAAAGCCAGAGCCAGGGACTGGCATGTCCCCTGACCTTAGGGAAAGGCAAGCGGTGGTGAGAACCAGGCCTGAAAAGTGGCTGAATCTTGCTGTGTCCCCCCCAAGGTGGCCGCTCAGCCGAGCGCCTTACCTTCACAGGCAGCCACAGTGAGCAGAGCGGGCGCAAAGATCAGCTGGGCTGCATGGTCTGGGCAAGCGAGCAACAGAGCCAGAGTGGTGGGTGCAGGCATGACTCTAGCTACCGGCCAAGGCGAGTGGGGCCAGCCAATGGTGGGATTTGCCGGTTGTGCATAATCTTAACAATCAGTTTGCCTGAAACAGTCCAAACCAGCGAATCCCACCTCTGCCCTCTTCTGACCTTCTGACTAGCAAAGTCAAAGGGGAAGCCAGTTTCACTTAACAACTGGGGCAAAAACGGTCGTACAATGGGGTAAAATTCACTTAACAAATGTCTCACTTAGCAACAAAAATTTGGGGCTCAATTGTGGCTGTAAGTCAAGGACTACCTGTATTTCTCTTTTAAAAAAAATGATTTACAGGATTTTCTCCCTGAGATTTTGCTGAGGCCTTCCCTTTTGTTTTTAGGGTCCTTGGATATAACTATTGTGCTCATCATTAAGTGGAATGCTTGTTCTTTAATTTCTTTAATTCTGATTTTGTACAGAGGTAAACAGCCAACTTGCTGTCAACAGCAGATCTGGATAGGTCCGCTTTTTTACTGGAAGGTGCTCAGGAACCAGAGACCAGCATTTTAAAAATTTGGCATTTACTTATTAATTTATTCATTCGTCCAGTTTATATGGCTGCTTATCTCATCCTACCTGAGTTGCTAACAATAATTAAAACAGTGTAGAAACACCAAAGAATAATGAATCAAGGGATGCCCATCGGGTGCAGCCAAGCCAGAAGCCCAGAAATCAACCCCACCACTGCATGGGCTCTGACACACACCCAGATCCTAGGCCCAGAGAGCTAACTCAACCCAACAAATGTGTTTTCTCACCAGATTCCCCATTCACATCCACTTCACACCGACTCAGGAAGGAGAAGTGAATTTCAACCTTCTCTGTGACGTCAAGAAGAAAAGCCAGCCGCTCTGTCTGAATGTCAAAGCCACTGGCCACACCATGAATGTCTCCGTGAAATGTGAAGAAAACCACGGGGTGGTGACTGAGCTGAACCCTGAGCATCCGAAGCAGATCCACTTCCGTGAGGTGAGAGGGCCATGAGCAGAGCAAGGCTGGCCTGAACGTACATGCAGGAAGCTTGGAGACCACCTTCGGTGGGCTTGGCTTCATGGCTTCCTACTCAGCATCTTCAGTTCTGTGATAGAAAAGGATCAGCTGCATGTCCTGGCCAATTCAATCCCCCCCCCACCCCCCAAGAATCTTTTTCTTCCTCTACCTTGTGGATTAGAAGCTTTATGATTGAGGGGTTTTATAGCCGTCACTCATGGCCATCCCAAAAGGTAGCCCAGAGTCATCTTCTTCCTCTTGAATGATCGGACTCAGGGTCTGAACTCCTTGGGAGCTAAAAGTTTGTTGGGCTTACTTTTTTTTCAGGAGCCCTCAACATTTCAGGGGCACATTAGGAATTTCATCTTTTTTTCCAAATCAATGGAAAAGTCCACCAAAAGTACACAACCACAACTGTCCATCATTGATATTTTGTAAGAAAAAAAAATAGTTTTTAAAGAAAATTTGGGGCCTGAAATAACTTTTGGTAATATAGCAGTACCAGAGGCTGCTACTTAATTTTGCCAAAAATGTCAGCTTTTCTGTAGGTCCTTGAGTTTGTGATGGTGGTGGATATTGAAGGAAGACATGATGGCTGCCTTGGGTACCACAGGGACCATTCCCTCCTTACCTGATAGAAATCTAGACCAATACCCTGAAAGGAGATTTGGTTTTCTTGAATGATTGTTTGTATTATTAAACTCAACTTGGTTTGGAGTCTAATTACATCCCAGGGTGTCCCCTTACATTGTCTCCTTCCATCCTGCTGGAATTGTTGAGGAAGGTGGGAAGGCATCCCTGTGTATTGGAGGGGGAGGGAGGGCACAGATTCTGAGGGCCTCACGAAATATGGCATTTCACAGGAACATCCCTGGAGGGCAGAGGCAGAAATGCTGAGCTCTTGATACATGGGGGGCTGTACTGGAATTCCCTCCACGGGAACCCCAACCCCAGACTCCCTGGACTTTTCTTTAGGGCCTCTCTCTCTTTCTGAGTGTGGAACATCCTTCCATTCCCAGGGCCTGTGGTTGGGAGCTGCTGTACCATGAAGTCTGGCCACCTCCCTGATGGGCAGTGAGGAGGACCACCTGCCTTGGAAGATGAGGGTGGCAGAGGAGGGAATGCAAGGCATGGCCGTCTTTGAGGAGAGGCTGGCAGACCTTCCAGCTGGAGGGAGGGGATGAAGCGACTAACCACCTTCTCTCTGTTCTGGACAGATGCAAGTCAACGATTATGCAAAGTGCAACTTCTCCATCCTCAACACCGGCAAATTCAACTTCACCTTTTCCTGGGAATTCTGCAATGGCAAGAAGTTCCGGCAGTATTTTGCCCTCTCCCCAGAGAGTGGCTCTGTGGAAGCCGGAGAGCGGGTGGAGGCCAGGCTCTCCTTCCACCCGCTGAAGGCCTTCACCTTAAAGGACATGGAACTCAAGTTGCAGGTAGGAACCCAAGGCTTCTGTTGCCCATGGCTGTACCATGAACCCCTGGATGTCTAGCACCAGTTCCAGGCAGGGCAGCCTGGCCCAAGGAGGAAGGAAGCACTCCCAGCCAGCAGGAGTACTGGTTGGAGCAGGAGAACAGTCATTTATGCTCCAAGATCCAACTCTGCTTCTGAATGACCAGGTCACAGGGCTCTTATGGGGAAAAGAGGAGCAGGAAGGAGCAGGGTAGGTTTGTGCCTTGTGTTAAGAAGGAGGTATAAAAAAGAAGGAGGTATAAAAATATTGGGGAGAAACCCCCGCTGGCTGAAGTCTGTTTCTGGAGAAACTGTATCTAGACATGGTCCCACGCCTATCCTCATTTACTCAATGCCCTTGGTCTTCAACGGGACTTGCTCCCAGCTAAATCCGGCTGTTTTTTTTAATATACAGTATTCCTATTCTGCAGTTATTGCATTCAAGGTGAACTTATAGCGATTACATCAACATAACAATTATATCCTTTACATGCTCACTTATGTTTATGGACATACTGAGTCCCCCTGTGATTTTGGAGAAAAAGTGGCATATAAAATAGTAACGCTCTGTTTGACGGCAACAACTATTAAATAAATGAGCTTTTGGTGGTCCCTGAGCTAGTTTTCTGCAGTAAAACCACATTAGTGGCTCTTTTGTTTGTGGTGTCGCAGTGGCCAAGTCTTGTGTCAGGATTCCGGCAGTTACCCCAATTAAATCACGTCACCTGACAGCAAATCTACCTCTCTTCAGATAAATCAGCCAGCCACAGCCAGCTGTGCTTTCTTCAGATGCCCACAATGTCCCACTCATTGATGGGATGTTTTCTGCACAAGCCTGACAAACACACCATCGTTTCAGACACCCTCAGATTCCAGGATATCAACCATTGATCTCAGGGTGACTTATCTTTTAACAAAGAAGTGAAAGGGACAATTGACTCAGAAATAACTGATCTAAAATTCATCAGATGATCTCTAAACCCCATACATCTTGGTTTATCCAGAGATCAAACTTTCTCATAACATTACACATGTTAATGGGCTTGCAAATGGAAGAATATCTGTGTCGGGGTTCCAAGTAACACCCCCAACAGAATTAAAACTCTGAGGCAGGTATCTTCCTCAAAGCATAAGTTTGTTGGAGGTGTCATCATGAGGTGCTGCATGAGCACTTGTACAAAGGGGTCCTAGTTTACCTAGCCATCTTCCCACCTGATGGCCAGAACCCATTTGTCCAGCCAAGAAAGACTTAGGATGAGCGGCTCCATTATTTTGGGGGCTACCACAAAATGTATGAGCTGCCAATGATCTCCCATCTCCAAGTCTCACAAGCTCAGTGACTAAAGTGACTGGGGCTCTGCCTATCAACCTGCCATCGACTTGCTTGAATCGTATGGGGCGCCCCAGGGGCTTAGTGTCTATTCCTAGCTTCTAGGACTTCCGGTGGCGCTTCCATCAATGACGGATCAGAGAGCAGGATCGTGCGCAGCTTTGATGGGTCCCTAAGGGACAGGAATCATCTGACCCACCTCGGAGGGGTGGGGGAAGAGAGGGAGACCGCCATCTGGATCAAGGGGAACTGCATCTCCCCTCCCTAGCTAGGTATTACTTCCTTGGAAGACAGGGAGAAACGGCAGTCTAAAATGGCTGCCCTGAAGACGGAAAGCTGCCAGGACCTAAGTATGTGCTGGAGTGGTGAAGTGGTGAGCAACATGTAACCAGATAAGAGAATTTGATTTTTTCTTAACAACCCTGAGAAGTAGAAAGAAAGAGCCCTCGCTTAAGAGTATCACAGCGACAAACAGAAAATAAGAGGAAAATACAAGGTAAACAAAATTGGAGTATTAAAATTTACAACGAAATTAGAGACTAAATTTTGAATAATATATATAATTTGGCATTAATTAGGCATTGGCTAAAATGCTGGACTTGCCTGGAATTGACTATTTTTAAGAAAGCTAATCATGGATAATTGAAAAGAGAAAAGAAAAGAACTTTGAAAAGTGGAAAGTGATACAGAGCGCCATCTAATGGTTAAATATTTTTTTCCTACAGAATTTTATGGAAATTTACTGGTCTTATAATTGTTGCGAGATAAAAGACAAATAAAATAATAAGAACCCCGGAAATTTAAAAAAGGGGGGGGAAATTCTACTAAGAGGATATACAAATGCAATTTCCTGGGATTGTTGGGTGTTGATTGTTACAAAGAGACAGAAGGATTAATAAGGAAAACAAAGATAAAAGGAGACTTTTGGCAAGGATTGCAACAAAAGCCTTTGAATATCAATAACTTTAAAAAATGGAAGAAATAAAACAAAGACTTTAAGTTGGAATTGCAAATTGTAAGAGGAATGCTGAAAGAAAGAAGGGAATTATTGGACGTACTGGCAAAGAAAATAATGGCGATGGTAGAAGAACAAAGAAATTTCAGTGAGGCAGAGTTAAAGGAAGAAGAAAGTGACTTAGACATGGAGAACAAGAGTTACTGCCAAAAAACACTAAAGGAACTAAAACTATGACATTGATGACAGAGTTAATAAATAAAAGGGAAAACGCTCCCAGGATTAAACAAAAGAAGAAGAAATTCTACAAGAAGAAACATCAAAAAACAGAACAGGAAGGAGGGGAGAAGATGTGCGAAATATAAGAAGGAAAAAAGAAGGAAGACCAGAGAAATTTAGAAAAGGGAAAGTTGGCTAAAATTAAAAGAAATAATAAAGCTGAAAAATTTAGAGATAAGGGTTAGGGATTCTGTAAGGGGAATACCACATTGAATATATATTGGCATTTAGTTTAAAACTTGCTGGGAAATATCTTAGGAATGTATAACTACACACACATATATATGAATATGAACTGTATATGAAATATGCTGTTATGAACCATTTTTAGAGGATTAAAACAAGGGAATGGAAATGAATTAAAAATATGATTATTAATGATTATAAGTAAAGGGAAGATAAAGATGGTTATAGGGCTGACAATCTGATCCCTTTTAAGAGGATACTTTCCACTGCCTGCACCTTTTAGGTTTCTAGTGTTGCTAGCCTCACCATATACTTTTTTGTGTTTTGTTGTTAAATTTCTCAATATGTTTTGTTATTAAATAAAACATGTTGAATTCATTGATGTAGCCTAGTGCAGAATAATCCATCAGCAATGGAATTATTTATAAATTGTCAGTGATGTTAAAGTAAATGATAAAGCCTCTTTGGAGACGGCCAGGTGCTCTATTCTGCTCTGCTCTGCTGAGACTGTGTCTTCCTTCTTTCATAGATAAGCCACGGCCCTACATTTACATGTGTGTTGCAAGGCTCAGTGTTGGCTCCCAGTATCCATTTCTCGGTCCTCAGAGTGGACTTTGGCAACAGTTTCATCTACCAAGCTGGGATGCCCATTTCCAAGAGAATCTTGGTGATCACTAATAAAGACAGCAGGAAAGCCAGGTGAGCTGCAGCCTCTTGAGGTGAGTCCTGGTGGGATGGAGCAGTAGGTAGCTATGTGAGGAGAATGCTCATCAAGGATGAACTCAGAACTCCCTCCCTCCATCCCATCCGTCTGTCCACCGACATTCCCAAACAAACACAAAATGGCTTTATTGCAGAGAATTACCGAAGGCAGTGTATTAAAAGTTCTCCTTGGAACAAGAGCCAGGAGTCCTCCCATCCCATCCCAAGGGTCGGACTATCCTCTGTTGGCTTTCTCCCCCTTGAGGCTCTTATCTCCCAAATGGCAATACAGGGCCCAAATCCATCGGAGGTGCCAGAACTTGCAAGACTGGAAGGTGCTGGATTCAAAACCAGCAGGCTCCTTGCCTTTCCATAATCTCAACCTCTTTCTTCTCCTGGAATCAGACAATTTGGGAAGTGGTCAGTGAGATTTTCAAGTGTTTTATAATGCAGGACAAATCACTTCTGGGGTAATAAACCTAATTTTAACACACATGGGATTAAATGCTGGTTTATTTCGATTTGATAGTTTTGGAAACTGGTGGCAAACAAGGAAGTCAGGTGTTCCCAGTACAGTTTGCAAAGCCAAATAACCACCTTCTTCTTATCTCTTCAAAGTGTGGAGTGCTTGTTCATCAACACAGCCTGCCTTGAGATCAGTTTCCGTTCTGCAGCTCTAAGTCCTGGAGAAAAAGTGGAGATTCCCATCAGCTTCTATCCTCGAGAAGCCATTTCCTACCATGAAATTGTCACCTTTGAAATAAATGGGATCTTACAGCAGACTGTAGAGATTGTTGGGAAAGGCATTGAGATGAAGGTGAGATTAGGCAGGCTCCTGGAAGAAAAGGGTCGGGCGAGAGAGTCAGCCTTCCAGCCTGCTCACCTGCTGCTCAGGGTGCCGCCTCCTCTGTGGTGGGCAAAGGGTTTCAGCACCTCCTGCCCAGTTACTCCTGCAGTTTTGAGGAGTCCGCATTAAAAGCAAGGAGTCAGGTTTTTAGGAGCTGCTCCTCACCCCCACTATGGTCACCTATTGGGTGGTGGTGGGGGGGCTAAATGGCCCTGATCTCCTATGCACACAATTAAAAAGAGTTTGCTCATTTATGATTTGAAAGTGGAGCTTGATTTTTTTTTTAAAGGAGATTTGGGACTTCTGAAGAAAAATTTGCAGCTATCTCTGAGTAATCTGGCCAGCTTCAAAGCACCAACATTTGAGCCTAGAAAGCTTTTTCAGAGCATTGCTGATATTGTGCTGTGATGTTTCAAAAAAGGAAAGGAAAGGAAAGGAGGAAGAAAGGAAGGAAAGAAGGAGGGAGAGAGAGAGAGAGAGAGAGAGCTGGGCCAAATCAGCACATCAGGACCCCACCCTGACTGCGACATGCAGCAGCCCAGGGCAGGACCCCATTGACTCCTTCCCTCCCTGGTTCAGCCCTCTGATCTCCTCCCCCTTCTTTCTTATCTCTCCCCCCGCCCCCCCAATTCATTCCACTTATTCTCTTCTTTAACCCTGCCTGTTTCTCATTCATAGATAGACGTTGTGGAGCCTCCCCAGAAAGTAGTGAAATTCGGAGCTATCCCTCCAGGGCACATTGTGAAGAAGGGAGTCACACTAGTGAACAACAGTGTCACATTTGTCGTATTCAGCCTAAGTTTTGTGGCTTCCATCCCGGAATTGCAGGAAGCAAAGGTAGGACTTGTCCCTCCTGAGATGGTGCCCAGGAGGGCCTCAGCGGGGGGAGGGGGCCGGTGGGTTCTCCTGCCCCAAGGGATTCAAGTGGCTGCTTCTCCAGACGAAATAGGGGCTGCTGGGTGGGCCTCCCGTGGGGTAAAAACCTGCATGAAAAGTTCCACTTTCTGTGGGGCAAGGAGGAAGAGCAGGAGGCAGCAGAAGAGTGTGGGTGAGAAATGCACTGTGGGCCTCCTGGTCTCTGGGGCACCAGCAGAGCCCAAACTCGGAACTTGTTTGGAGCCAGATCATTTTCGATGCATCTGGAGGAAGACCAGCTATTTCTCCCCACTGAAAACATCTCCCAGTTGAACCTCTGCCTGTCCTGCAGTGTTGCTGGACATGAGACTGGCCAGTTGGGACTCTTTTCAGGAGAGGAGCATCCCACATCATGGCGTCTTTTCCACTGGGTGTCTTTGGACAGGTGCTCACTATGTCTCCTAGTGGTGAAATCACATTGAAGCCCCAGGGGGGCACCTGTCATGTGGAAGTGACATTCAGTCCGAAGAGCCGCATCCTGCCCTTCTCTGAGGAGGTTCTGCTCGAGTGCCAGGGGGTCCTGAGCTCCCTCTTCATTGTGCAAGGCTGCTGCCAGGGCGTTGAAGTCCACCTGGACCAGGATCACATCCCTTTTGGAGCTGTGGTGCTGCGGAGCCAAGCTTCTCGGCGCATCATGATGCAGAACTCTGGAGACCTCGGAGTGGGGTAAGCCAGGCATCCCTATCTGGGGGGAGGGGGGGGGGCTTCTAGGCCCCTCCTGGTCTGGAATGGGATGTTTATGCACCAACCCTTGGCCACCCGTCCCAGCCAATTCACAGCCAGCTTTCTTCTTCCACTGGTGCTGCCCTGGCTATTTGCCATGGCCAATGGCCCCCTGGCCCTCCCCCTTGCCCTTTGTCCCTGCCCATTTGCCCAGATACCGTTTCACCTGGGTAGTTTGCTGCATGGGACCAATAATCCCCAGCCAACCAGGTGGCAGGCAGAAGCAATGGTGCTGCGGGGCAATAGGCAGGTTGATAGGCAGGTTGATCGCAGAGGCAGTGGGTCGGGCACCGTGTGATGCAAAAACATTTTTAAAGCTCTGCAGCTGCTCTGCAATTTTTTTAAAAAGGGGCTATGTTTTTAATTGACCCACTTGGTCAATTGAGTGGCTCCAGAGTATGGTTCTGACAGGTTGTGCAGAGGGGGACAGGCTCCAAGTTATAAAAAGGTGTTGGAAACGGCTAAGCTGCAGCGTGAAAGCATCCTGCTGCTGGGATCCGTGCAGATCTGTCACCAGGACCAGAGAGGAATAGAGGGGGAGTGGAAGGGGGAGTAGCAGCCACCGTGGCAGACAGGTGAGAGTGTGTTGGGGGGATATAGGAAGGGAAGTAAGGATGGGGGGGGGCTATAGGGGGCTTTGCAGAGACAGCAGGAAACAAAAGTGGGGAAGAGGAGCCAGCCCTTAGGAGTTCTGGAGAGAGAAGAATGGAAATTGTGATTGTGTGTGGCGGGGTGTATGTTTCCATAGCACTACCTGGGTGCGTAAGTGTGAATAGAGTACGGAGACTCCACAATAGGGACAGATTTGGGGCTTTGCTTCTTCCGACATGCTAAAAGAGTCCCGGCACATTTTATCTGCGGAGGGATCAAATGGGCCTCTGCATGGCTCTCAGCTCACCTCTCCCAGACCCCTTTCCCCCTCCGTTCACGCCAGTCTGGTTTCAGTCCCCGTTTCTCCAGCAGGAAATCCTTTTGATGTCTAGCTTTAGTCTCCTTCCTTGCATTTTTAACTTACTGGTTCTTGCCTTCTTCTAATCCACTCTTTTTATGTTAACTTCAGGTTGTTCTGAAGTCCATTGTTGTATTTTCCCTCAGTCATTTATCCTGTAAGCTAAATATGTGTAATCAACCACAGTGGAGAATAGCTGTTAACCTGTTTTGTTCCCTGTTAGTGGATGTCCTTTTTATTTGGGAGTGGGAGAAGGAGGGAAGGAGAAGCTGGATGACGAAAACAGGGAGAGGGCAGAGGAAGGACTTCACTCAAAGTTGGAGTCTGGCTAGGCTGATGCTTTGGAAGTGATCGAGACATACAGTATCGGAGATCATTATCTGGGAGGAGTTTGAACGGATTCAAGTGGAATTTTGCTCCCTGTGTTTTGGGCCAGTGCCCAGGCCTCTCTGAAGGGGAATACAGTTGAGCCACAGTGGTGGCTAATGCTTCTTTACAGGAGGGGGTGATGCCATCTATGTTGCTTAAGAGACCATGGAGCATTTTCATCCCATTTCCAATCTTCTCTCTTTGGAATAGATTGAGAGCTATTGGTGCGTAGTTGCAAAGGTCCCGGAAACAGAATAGAGCTGGAAGGGACCTTGGGGGTCTTCTAGTCCAGCCCCCTGCTCAAGCTGGAGATCCTATGCCATTTCAGACAAGGGACTGTCCAGTCTCTTCTTAGAAACCTCCAGGGATGAAGCACCCACGACATCTGAAGGCAAACTGATTAATTGTCCTCATTGTTAGGCAGTTTCTCCTTAATTCCAGGTTGCTTCTCCCCTTGATTAGTTTCCATCCATTGTTTCTTATCCTGCCCTCTGGTGCTTTGAAAAATAAATCGACCCCCTCCTCTTTGTGGCAGCCTCTCAAATACTGGAATACTGCTATCATATCCCTACTAGTCCTTTTTTTTCTCTAGACTAGCTAAACCCAAATCCTGCAACCATTCTTCATGTGTTTTAATCTCCAGGACTTTAATCGTCTTAGTTGCTTTTTGCAAAGTCTCAACGTTTTTTTTGTAATGTGGTGACCAAAACTGGATGCAGCATTCCTAGTGCAGTCTTACTAATGCTTTATAAAGTGGTACTAATACTTCAAGTGATTTTGACTCTATGCCTCTGTTTAATAAAATGAAAAATTGTATTAGGTTTTTGGCTGCTGCTGTATACTGCTGACTCATGTTTAAACAATTGTCCACTAGGACTCCAAAGTCCATCTCACAATTACTGTTTTTGAGCCTGGTTTCACCCAATTTGTACTTGTACCTTTGGTTTTTCCACTCAGGTGTAAAAACCTTGCTTTTCTGCACATTAAATTTCATTTTGTTGGATAGGGCCTATTATTCAAATCTGTCAAGATCCTTTTGGATCCTGAGTCTTCTGGGATGTTGGCTATTCCTGCCAGCTTGGTATCATCTACAAATTTGGTGACTTCCCCTTCTCTTCCCTCATCTAAGTGGTTTATGAAGATATTGAAGAGTACTGGGCCTAAGACGGAACCTTATGGTACCCCACTGCTTACTTCCCTCCATGTAGATGTAGTACCATTAAGGACTACTTGTTGAGTATGGTTTGTCAGTCAGTTACAAATCCATCTGGTGGTGATGCTGTCTGTCTGCATTTTTGTAGCTTACCAAGAAGAAGTCTACTTTGTCAAATGCCTTGCTGAAGTCTAAGTATACGATGTCCACAGCATTTTGCTGGTCTACTAATTTAGTCACTTTGCCAAAGAATGAAATAAGATTGGTTTGGCATGATCTGTTTTTAAAAAACCTGCGCTGGCTATTAGTTATAACTTTATTTGTTCCTAGATGTTTGCAGATCTGTTTTTCTTATTATTTTTCCAGTATCATCTTAGGTATACCCTCTTCTTCCTTATGTGATTGGTTATGTAGTTGTTTTTGCTTGGAATTAGGTTCTAAAGGACATGAAGATTGGGCCCCCTCCCCCTCAATTTTAGTTAAAAGTCCTTTTGATAAGATGAGCCAGTATAAGATCTTGCCTCTCCTGTCCCCTCAAGAAAGCAGAACTCTTGAAACAAGTGGCATTTCAAAAGGAACTTTTATTGGGTGATAGTGATAGCAAGAAGAGTAAGGTAGCATCTGAAGTTTCTGCTCAAAAACTGTTAGGTTGAATAGAAACCCCTTCCCTTTGTCCAGTCTGAGGTGAGCCAATCCACAGATGTGAAGTTGTTGTGGGAACTCCGAGTTGAAAAGGTGACAAGAAGTTGTTCTCAGGCGCTGCTTGCTCCTTCTTCTGGAGCTGAGATGGCCCCAGGCTCATCCTTACCCCCTCCTATCCCCAGGAAGGTACATCAAAGTAGTAAAGGAAAAGCCAGAAACAGGAAAAGGTTATAAAATGTCACACAGGCCCACTCCCAACAGAATGGCAGCTTCCTACTGATAGGGATCCAGTCATTTCCCAAGTATATTCTTTCCAGTTCTTATGAGGCTCACTCCATCCCTTCCAATAGCCCTTCATGGTCTTGGAAGCTGAAGTTCTGTTAACAACACCAGTTTTTAAGCCAGTGGTTCATTTCTAAAATCCTTTGCTCCTTCATAGGATGTTGGCCTTTTATTGGAAGTCGAGATGAAAACACCAGTTGTGCTCGTAATTCCTTAACTTTCTTCCCTAGCTGTTTGTAATCTTGTTTTCAGATTAACTGTTGCATCATTGATTCCCACATGTAGAAAAAGCGGTAGTAATTCGTGGAGTTGAATATTTTAGCAAGATACTCAGTTATGTCTTTGGTTTTTGCTCCAGGGAGACTATATACCTCCCTAGACTAACTGCCGAGTCTGCAGACTATAGTTTCTGTTCCCCTAAGAACTGAATCTCCCTATCACCAGTAATCACATTTTTTTCTCCTAGGTAAGTCTCACTCTTTTGTGAGTGTCCATATATTTTCATTCAGAGGGAGGCTATGAAAGCAGCTGTTCAGTTCCAGAGGGGCTTCAGTGGACTGGGCTAGGGTAGATAGTAGGGGCTTTGCTCTTGGTTATTTTCTTCTAAAATTTCCATTGGTCTTGCACTTTAGGTATAGCAGGGATGGGATTCAAAAATCCCAGCAATCAGTTTGCTGCCCAGTTGCTGGGTGGGTGTGGCCATGGTGGCCGTGGCCATGGTGGCCGTGGCCTACCAGAACTTCCTGTGGCTTCCGGTGGTCTCTGGAGCCTGGGGGAGGCTGTTTTCACCTCTGGGAGTGCCTCCCTCTGGAGGCCCACCAGAAGCCAGAAATGGGCCCATTTTACAACTTCTGGGACGGCCATTTTTCGCCTTCCCAAGGGTCTGGAGGCCTTTCCTGGGCCCTGGAATCTGGAAACAGGCCTGTCTCCAGATATCTCGAAGGCCCATTTTCCCCCTTCCCAGAGCCTCCATGCAGACCCTGCACTTTCCTGCATCATGTGGAGACTTCTGGGAGGGGAGGGGTGGGCAGGGCCAGCTGATTGATTGAAATAATGGTTCGGCAAACCAGATGCAACTTTAATATCTGGTTCGCCCGATCCAGTAGAATCCCACCCCCGATATATAGGCTCATTTTTACAGAAGCTATTTGTTCCCTATTGTATTCAATTCAGGTGTATTAATTTTCTTTTTTGTATTCATAGTTGGGGTCATCATTAGTTTTTTTAGAAGCTGTTCTGTTAGAAATATGCCACCTAACAGCTAATAGGGCTGGACAATATATAAACTAGGATAGACATTTTAAAACTATATCTTTAAGAAAATGCAAAACTGTAGTTGGGTGTGGTTTCTCAAACGGCCATAAGATGGAACCAGAAACCTGGGTTGTTTAGTTTAGTCTCAGAAGAGAGTATGAGTCAGTCTCTGTTTCCTTCTGTTGGAAAGTATTGCCGTTCTTCCATTTTTCCTAATTGACTGATATTCTGGATTTGATGTACGTCTGATACTGAACTGTTTTTGACACTGGACTTTGTTACTGGATTATCCCTGGATTGAAACCTGACTGATTTACCTGTGAATGACTTTTGGACTGCTTGTTTTTGAACTTTGCTTAAACCTTTCTGGAAGTAAAAACCTACATTTACTGTACAGTGTATCTGTGTGCTGTGTGTGTATTATTCAAACACTACTCTCAAATATGTCTCCCTGTAGGTGCTCATTCTCCTAACGGGGAATTACCTCAACATGTTCCCTATTGTATTTTATTTTGGTGTAATCTTGTTTACATTTGGATTTCTCACTTTGTTCATTGAGTTTCAGAGTAGCTAGTTGCCTCTAGATCCTTTACTTTTTCTTCTAGTAATCTGGTTATTACTGAAGTCCTCCTTGCCAGAGAGCAGTCTGTGTGGCCACCTACCTGAGGGCATCTGCCCATCCCACTGGACCAGGGAGGGTGGATGCACTCCAGCTCTCTTGTCTTAAATATTGCGATCTAAGTGGGATCTAGGAAGAGTGCCTTTTTCACAGAGGGCCCTGTTCTATGGGACATCCTTTTCCTTTTTTCTGGCAGCCCCACCCCCCCGTAACTTTTTGGAAAGCCAGAATTGTCTCTGGGATCAGGTGAAGCTAAAGTTAGAAGCTGGTGCTGTTGTTCACATCAAGGGTATGCGTGGATGGGTTGAGCTTCCAGGTCAGTTCACTTCGTTTTTATTGTTTGATTTCATCTTTTGTATGTGTTGTTATAACCACTCACAGTTGTGGTTTTAGGATGGGTGGCTATAAAGGTTTTTGAAATAAATAATGAAGCCAACTCAGAAAGTCTAGGACAACTCTCTGTGGCCAACTTGCCATGACCAACTCACCGCAGGACAAGTTACATTAATATGGAAGAAATGGTGGAATAGAATCATTAAGAAAAGATGCCAAAGGAGGGAGTGCAGAAACCTTCCTAGCAGGATAAGGCCCAAACTCTAACAACCTTCCCGGCTCTCCCTCTGCTGCTGGATCCAGTTCAAAGGGCCAATGATGGGTGACCAAGAGCACCATGACTGGGGGTCTTCTCTTTCCACCCTGCCCCTGCCAGCTGACCAGCCGCAATGAAGATCTTTCCTCTCACATGAGGTCTTTGGGTCTCTCAATGGCTGTCCTTTGCTCTACACCAATTTCGTGTTAGGTGGAGCTCTTGCATGATTTTTCAGAAGTTGGCGAAAACACTATTTTCCTGAACATTTTTATTTTATTTATTTGTCAGTTGCTTACAAGATAATAGGTATAAGTAAAAACATAGTTATAAATACATGGATACTTATAAGAAAAAGAAAAAAATATAAAAGAAACAATAGAACAGGGACGGTAGGCACATTGGTGCACTTATGCACGACCCCTACAGACCCCTTAGGAAATGGGTGAGGTCAACAGTAGACAGTCTAAGGTTAAAGTTTTGGGGATTTGGGAAAAAACTAGAGGCTCAGCTTTTAGATATGGGATTGAATGGCTTTTGTGTCTTATTTGATTGATTGTGGATTTGGAGTATGTAAATGTGAGCCTTTGGAGGTTTCTGATTGGGTTGATGATACCTAGAAGGAAGAGACACATGTTCAATTTTAACCAATGGAAACCACAAGCCTTACATCATCCTAAATGCAAGTTTGCCTGCTAGGTGAGGTGTCATTTCTACTCAAGCTACCATTTCTACTCAAGCTACTTTATTCTAGATCCTTGCATGGCAGATGCTTGGTGCCTGACTGAATTCGGTTTATCTCAAACAAAGTAAGAAGCCACCAGAAACCCCTGGGAAAGGGAAAACCACTTCTACAGGAGTGTGGCATTGTTAGGAGCCCTTCTCTTGCAGCTTTCTCAGCATCTGTCCTCTGAAGCCACTTGCCCCCCCCCCCCCCCCCCCCCCCCCGCCTGTTCCCGAGACTTGCTGGCATTTTGCAATGCATGGGGGGTGGCGGTGAAGAAGGCAGAGGAAGCTAGCTAGCTGAGGAATTATGCGAGTTGAAATCCACAAGTCATAAAGTTGCCAAGTTTGGAGATCCCTGTCTTAAGCCATCCAGTTTCCTGAGTGTGCATAACTCCTGAGGGGAACCATTTTCCTTTTCTTTCAAAGCTTCCGATGGGATGCCAAACGCTTCAGACCGGACTTCTCCATCAAACCGACAGAAGGTTACATTTCTCCAGGAACAAGTGTCCCCTTTGAAGTGACCTTCCACCCTTGTGAGCAGAGTCAGGACATCTGCTATGAAAACCTCCCGTGTCACATCCAAGGAGGGGAACCCGTGAGACTCACACTGAGTGGATTGTGTGTGAGCGCCCCGCCTGTCAAAGAGGTGACTGATGGGGCACCTTGAGCTGGGAACACCTGGGCAAAAGCAAGGATGGTCCAAATCCAGTCCAAGGTGTAAATGGGCCACTCCTGGCACCCAAATGTAATGTAAGTCAAGTTACAGGAACCTTGGCAAAAGGAGCCATCAGAACAGAGATTAAAACAGAGATGGTTTCTCTCCATCTACCCAGTCTGTGATGCAGCCTCTTCAGAGTCAGTCACCCCATAGCCTATCTACACACCTGCAGAGCCTTTGATGTGGAGGGTGGCTCTGTGCCAGAGTTGGGGAGGTTCCGTGTCTTTGGCTGCAATGGCCATCTCTGGGCAGGAGAGCCTGGAGCCTTCTCAGTCTTTATGCTCAGTCTATACGTGAGGGGACAAACTCATCAGGTGGTGGTCAAGAAGGGAGATGTGGGTCAGGAAGTGTTGCTTTGGTTTTAATAATACTGTACAAACTCTCCAGAACAGGACATTGAAATGTGAAGATTTGTGCCTCATTTATTTACTGATCATTAGTTCCTATGTCTCTCTCAAGATGGCATCTACAAGCCATAGATACCCCTTCAATGATCATCTTCAACTTTTTTTAAAAAGAGAAGATGTGTTGAAAAATGAAGACTGGGACTCGGCCTCAACTGGATTTTCAGCATTGCACCTGTCACACCCCCCCCCCCCCCAAGATTCCACAGGCCTGCTTAGATCATAGAACTGACATCATAGGGCTGCAAATGTGTCTCAAGCTGAGCTAAGAGATAACTACTAGAAATAGGGTGGGGTTGGAAGCCTTTTGAAGGCCTACTCAGAAACTAATACTGCATAAACTCTTTTATTGTTACAACGTATAAGAATTTTGAAAACCTGACAGAAACTCTCTCTATCCCCTCTTACAGCAAAGGGAACCAAGGTGTGGCAATCTTGAGGTTTCCCCCTCTTGTTTAGCTGAGTCAATGTGAATTTTATTCGAGAGTTGCTGACTTTGTTTTCAAGGCAATCTCCTCCCCACTTACCCTCTTGCATGTCAGATTTTCTCTTTGATGGCAGCCGTTGTGTGAGTCTGCCCCTAACATGCCATCAGTGTGGTATCCCTTTTGGCAGAAGGGCTCCTATTTTGAATCTACAGGACACTTTTCCGAAAGGTCATACATTAGATGAAATGCATGAGCATGAAACTGGTCAACTTCCAGAAGCACTGAAGATAATGGCAGCTCACAAATCTGATAAGTAGACAAAGAAATGCCTTATCTAGATGAAGGTGCTCAGATATCTCAAGTAATAAAACAGCATCGTTTTTGAAGGGGAGAGGAAGACTTCTTTTAATCCATATAAGGATCTAGTGCAGAGATGGGAAGGGCGGTGGTCTCTCTGGATCACTCTGGCTCCTTTTTTTTGATATTTTCAGAGGGGAGGTCCTCTCCATCTTATTTTGGACCAATGATTTGTCTGGTGAGGTTTTCAAGGAAAGAAAGAAGGTCTGCACTTCTTAGCAAACCATCCATGCGTGTTAAGTCCAATAGTGGAATTAATGAAAAGCAGAGATTCTTCCATGTAAATAAAATTCAGAAATATTTTTAGTACTTGTCGTTTAGTAAAAGTGACCTAAAAAGAGGTTACAGAATGATTTCTGACTACCATAAACATGGTTCTTCCATTATTTCTTACAGGTGGTGAATTTCATATGCCAGGTGCGTGGAAGGCAGACACAGACCATCATGCTATCCAACAAAACTAACCAACCGTGGATGTTGCGGCCCATTATTGAGGGAGAGCAGTGGAAAGGGCCAGAGTACGTCAGAGTGGAAGCCCACCAGCAGAACAAGCCCTATGAAATCACATACAGGCCTCTGGCTATGAATGCAGAAAACAAGAAGGACCAGGTATCCCAGAAACAAACAGCAAAAGGAGGGGACAGATGGGGGGGGCTGGGGGCCTCAGAAGCTGGGCTGGATGAGGGTTGTTGTATGTAAAGAGGGATCCTTGCATTTCTTTGTACATTCAGTTGCCATTTTATGAAAACCACACCGCCCATAAAAGCTTGAAGCCTGACCAACCTTTTGTGCATGAACCCCATGCAAGCAAATTCTTGGCTTCAGGAGAAAGTAGTCCTGTGGTTGTTGCTGCTACAGATGCCTCTTGCTCATCAGCAGCATTCTTTATTTTAGGCCTCTTTATTTTTGCTGTGGTTCTTCAGAGCTTGTCAAGGTAACCTGGACGGAAAGTTCATGCCTTTTTCAAGTACACGGTGAACCACAATGATGAGCTGAGAATTAACATGCCAAAAAGGCCAGATGTAGCAAAGGTAAAGAAGGTGAATCCAGAGCAGAGAACCTCCATGGGTAGGCCCAACAGTCCTTGGGAGAGAAGGGGTTCCTGGCCCTTCTTGTGGTATCTCTAACTCTCCAAAGCGGAAGTCTGCAATGTCTTGTCCAGTTAAGACTAGCTATTCTTTGGAGGTCCCAGTGCTCTGATTTAGCCTTACTTACCTGATAGTTTAAAGCAGTGGATTTGGATAGCTGCTTATGAGCAGGATCGCCCAAAGTTTTCTGCTGCCTGGCCCTAGGTCAGACAACATCACAAGTATGGTGATACTTGTGCTGGAGAAGCTTATTTGAGTCAACTCTTTGGAGAAGCAGCAATCATAGCTGCCCATGACAGGGGGAGAAGCTAGTTGGACTCTTGAGAAGTCTTGCAGGTTAAGAAAGTTCGTTCTCTTAAAACTCTCCTGAGTAGCTTCAGTCAGGGGAGACGTGACCATCTCTGTTGGGAATGGCTTGGACCGGTGAAGAGATGTTGCCTGAAACTCTCCTCTTCTCTCCAGGGCTCTGTCTTCTTTCCCCTCCCAGATGGAACAGGGCTGCTTTACCTCCTGCAAGGCACTGCTGAGCCTCCCAAGTCAGCTGGGAACATCATGAGGGAAATTCCGTGCAAAACATCCTACACGGAACTGCTTCCCATCACCAACTGGTTGAACAAGCTGCAAAGGCAAATGTGGAAAAAGGGCTGGGCAGGGCTGGCAATTTCACCCCAGGCAGCAGAGGAAGACCTAAGGGGGCGGGGGAGGAGGAGGAGGAGGAGGAAGCTGCAATCACACAGGAGCCCACAGGTTTCAGTGGGGTTAGTTTGCACCCCCAATTTTCCTTTGGTTGTTTGAGGCCCCACTTGTTTTCTCCAGCCATTGATCCTGGGATCTACCAAAGCAACAGGAGGTGTTTGTTGCCTTATTTGTAAAAATAATGAAGGTGGGATACAAATAAAATAAACCCCCAAGAGCTCTAAAGTTAGCTTGTCCCATCTTGCCTGTCCTTGGGGGCTTCTGTGCCCCTTTGAAGAGAAAATATATTGCTAGTGAAGCGCTGTTAGGATAGAAAAAGCTTTCATGAGTGTCAATGGGTATTGACTGCCTGGCTGGGTCAGAACTTGGAGACCCGTTCATGGGAAGTGTAATTGTTTGGCCAGCCGGACTGTGAGCAGTTAATCCAAAGAGTCTCTCCTTGCTAACATTTATTTGGAAGGAAAGTTACAACAACTCCACCCCTCCTTTCAAATTCTATAAGGCATCACTAGGATGTTTTGTCTCTTTTGTGAAAGCAGGGGCCAGTCTTCGCTGCACTGGCAACTTCAATTAGACCTCTTCCACAGCGACAAGTGAAGCAGACCATTCCTGCTGCAGAGGAGGCTAGAATGTTCCTTTGGGATTTAATAAGAACGTTATTGTTATTACTATTTATTAAATTTCACATATTTCCCACTCTACATGAAATTGCTGGGAGATTTTCTGAAATATATTTTGAAATTCAGGCCAATTACAAATAACTGGATAATAGATCCAATAAGGGTGACAATCTGAGCCATAATCCATGTAGTCCATCCATGTAGTTAATGGCAGTAATTGGGACCAGGAATTCCTTCATTAAGCAATGCACTTGGGAAGTGCAGCATCACCACGTGATCACACCAACAGGATCACCTTTTGTGATCTCCTGCTGGCTTTCTCCATTGATTTTGCTTGTTGGAAGGTGGCAGCGAATGTTGCAAATGGTGATTGTGTGACTACAGGACACTACAATTATTATTAAGTGCAAGCCAGTGGCCAAGTGCCCAGTTCACAATCACACGATTGCAGAGGTATTGGCACAGCTGGAACTGTGAGGGCCAGTCAGTTCATTCAGTGCCAACCTGTCTATGAAAGGGCACTAAGAGAGTGGTTGCTAAACAAGTGCTGCCTGTTCCTGGGTGGTTCAAGGGCAGTTGAGTCAACTTGTGCACAGCGAGAAAATTCTGCTTCTCCTGTCATTCCTGTCCAGGATTACATTCTGAGCCTAATGTGGCAATTGAGATGTAATATTTTCTTAACTAGGTTTCTAATTTTTTTAACTATCTGCATCACAATAATTCTGCTTTTTCTTTCTTGTTAATTACCTTGAGCACCATTTTTAGTGGAAGGTGGGGGGGGGAATAAATTAGAGAACTGGATCTATCAATCCATGAAAATTGAAAACCTGGCAATTCTACAGTAGGATAGATGTGGTTGTTTTTATTTAGTAGAAAAGGCACAGGGGTGAAAAACTGGATGTCGGTCAGTCTTAGGCTGGGAACTGAATGGCTCCCTCTTCTGACTAGGTTCCGGGTAATACTTGACATGATAAAGCCAGAAAAACTGGAAGTCACAACCACCCTGAAAACTCTGGACTATATTGAAGTACCAGCTTCCACCAAGAAGGACCACAAGCTCACCTTCTTCTCTTACAAAGAGGGCATGTACACCGCCAAGGTAAAGAGCCTCCCTTGTTTCTGGGACCCCGGCAGCTTCTCCGGCTTTTTCTTGACCCGGAGCATCTCTGTATAAGGAGCAGCTCTGTGCATGTCCTCCCGAACCTTTGGCTCAATTTGATTCGGGAACTTAAAATACAATTTCCTGGTGACATTTGGTCATTGCTTTTCAGACGAACATGCATCAGCTGAGAAGAAATATCCTGCCTTTTACACCTTTTTTTTTCCTGTAGCCTGACCAAGCAGGACCGCTAAGAGAAAGTAGACCTCGGAATTGTTTCAGGGATGCTCCCTGCCTTCCACTCAAAGGCCTCTCAGTAGCAGAGGCAGGCAGGAGGGCCAGCCTGAATGCCAGAGGCCTTTTGTCTTTAATCTGCCCAGCCTTGCATGGCCTCCAAGAGGACGACTAGGGCTGCTTGATTAGATCATTCCCAAGACTCTCCTGTCATTTCAGGTCACCTTCCGCAATGAGGCCACTCAGGAATTCTTATTCTATCTGATCACGTTTAAAGCCATCCCGTGTGGCCCACTAGGCACCCTCGAGTTGACCACAGCTGTCCGGCAAAGCACCGCCTCCTCAGTCAAGGTGGAGAACCCGCTGCACTACCAGGTGTCTTTCAATACGGACTGCAAGGTGCCAGACATCAACCTGCCTCCTCAGTTCATGGTCCCTGCTCAGTCTGAGGTACAAGCCTGTCTTGGTAACCTGCCAGGCCCCAGAGTTTAGCAGACCCTTTTACCCTGACCTCCTGCTTGCTTTTATTTCCATTCTTTGAGAAGCTTGAGTTTCTTTTTCTTTCCTGGCTTTTGTTCAATCCTTTCCTCTTTCTTCTTTCCACCTCTTGCAGTAGATATCATACAAACCTTACCTCTAAAGGCTGTAGTCCAATTCCGTCTGCCCAAGGCAGGAGACCCTGTACCATCCTGGACAAATGGCTGTCCAATCTCTCCTTGAAAATGTTTCTTGTTCCTTATATATTGAAAGAAACTGTCTGTTATTCCTGACATTTGTTGCAAGTCTTAGTTCATTCTTAACCTTAGCCTTCCTGACTCTTTCCTTACAGATTCAGGACATTTGCTGATATTCTGTGCCCTCTTTCTTTTTTATAATTATCCTTTTTGTCCCTCAGTCCTTGACTACCCTCAGTCACAGTACTGAGCAAGGGAATGAGGAATGTGGTGGTTCTTCTCCTTTCTATGTGGTGCTCCAAGACTGCATGGACAGGTGGTGTTGACCCATGCCTTGTTCAAATTTAACAAACACAAACTGTGTAAAAAAGCAAAACTTTTTTAATGTGGTGCTGGGAATTCTGCATTCCCAGCCAAGAGTCAGTTAAAGCTAATTGTCCGATATCAAAAGCAAGCCCTTTCAAGGTTGCGAAAGGCTGCCAAAAACAGATGACTGATTAAATATCCACCAACAGAAGTTTCAAAAACAAACTGGAATAAGAAGGGCTTTGATGAGAATTCTGAGTCTAAATAACTTCTTTGCTTCCTGCACAGAACACATCCCCAAAGGCTGGCTTTTATCCCTTATGGGAGGGGCCATCACCTTCCAGCCTTACTTCCGAGTTGTCTTGCTGCTTCAGATGCTCTTTCCTTCAAGCAGCCCTGTGCACACATGCACTGGGCACAGGCTCTCCGGGATCCTCTGTGTCACTGCTGCCAGACTCCATAAGCTCCGAAGGCAGCTCCCCACTCTCCGATAGTCCTGGCCCCATTCCTGCATCACACGCAATCCCCTCATCTGAGTCCTCAATCTCAGAGACCTCTGCGGTACACACCTGCTGCCAGTGAACCACAACAGGGGGAGAGAGGTGGACTCCATGTTTCCCTCACTTGTGTGGGCTGCAGGGCTTGATGCTTTCCCCTTTAACATCCACATGAAACTGATGGAAGAGATCCTGCACTGTTTCAGAGTCAATAGCATGTCTTAATCACAGACCATGTTCTATGGTCATAATTGAGGATCACCTGAACCTTTGAAGATTTCATGGAATAAGACCCGAGTTTGCTCCCCCCAAGTGGCTTTCTCTCTGGCCCTCCTTGCCCCACTGAATTCTTGCGCAGACAGTCCCTCCCAGGGCCAGCTAGGGTCTTCTTAGGGCTCTTTCTCATGCTCTACCTTTTCAGCATTCTTCTTTTACTGTTCAAAAATGCTCCTCTGATCTTCAGTGAGTCTGCAAACAAGCCCCAGTTGGAGCTGCTGTGTTCCTCTTGGAGGGAATGGCTCCCTTTCCCTGGTGCCCTCCCCCCACAACTGACTGGGGTGGGGGGGAGGAAATATGAGGCAGGGCAGGGGTGGTTTTTGCTGTCCCTGCTGTGGCCTGTCACACTTTTGACCAGTTGTTGTATTAACAGTTTTTGGTGGACTTTCTCAACACACTGAGTGGCCAACTAACTGCACAGCTAAATGATTCTAATGTGATGTGTTGACTGTGAGGCCCCCAGAGCTGCCTTTCTCTTCTAGGCCTTGTGGCTTCGGAGCTCACCTTGCTTCCCCTCTCCCTGTTTGGCTCCCCCGTCCCTTTGGCACCCCTGTTCTCTTCCCCATCATGGGCCCTCCTCCGCCCTGTGGTTCCTCCTCCTCTTGGTCCCGGAGGTGGGTGGGAGGGCCTGGGCCCCTCTCCTCCGGGCCCCTCGACTGAGCCACTTCCTCTTGCCAGGGGACGCTGGTCTTCGAGTTCCTGCCAATGAGGCCCGGGGAGACCAGCGGGCGGCTGGCCCTCAACAGCAGCGACCTGGGCTCTTTCCAGTACGACCTGATCCTGAAGGCCACACCGGCCCGCCCAGAGAAGCCCCTCTGCTTCTCCACCATGCTGGGCAGCAGCCAGAGCTTGGTGGCCAAGATCGTCAACTACACCCGCCAGAAGACAGAGTATTCCACCAAGGTGAGCTGGCAGGGAGGTGCGGTGCCCGCCTGCCGGGTGCATCGGGGGAGGAGGGGGGCGGCGGCGGCGGGTCCGGAGCGAGGCCGACGCGCCTCTCCTCTCCTCTCCCCTCCCCGCAGATCGACAGCCCGGACTTCCAGGCCGAGAAGGTCATCAGCGCGCCCGCGGGCGCCCAGACGGGCACGGAGGTGGGCGTGGAAGTGACCTTCGAGCCCTGCCAGCTGGGCGAAGCCCGCGGGACCCTCCTGCTCTCCTCGGCGGTGGGCGGCGACTACCTGATCCCGCTGCGGGGAACCGCGCTGCCCCCCCGGCCGCAGGGCCCGGTGCATATCCGGCTGGGCGCCAGCGCGGTGCTGCCCTTCAAGAACGTCTTCCTGCAGCCCACGGCCTTCAGCTACGCCGTGGACAGCGCCGCCTTCTCGGTGCGCGCCGCCGAGACCATCCGCCCCAAGAAGACGACCACCATCTCCGTGGCCTTCGAGGGCGCCGGCGGCGGGAACAAGGCGCCGGTCACCGGCAAGCTGGTGGTCTCGTGCCCGCGCGCCGCCGGGCTGGGCTCGCCCGTCAGCTGGGTCTACTACCTGAGAGGGGTCCCGCCGGAGAAATAGCGCGTGAAATAAAGTTGTTCTCAGAAAGGAAAGCGCGTCCGCTGCCTCATTTGGGACGGGAGGACTTCCGGGTCGCGGGGCCTCGGAGGGAGTCGTGGGTTCCGGTCCTTCGGCCTCCACGCAGGGGGCGCTGTTTCGTCCCGTGGGTTGGGATGACGTCACGCGGGGAGGGAGGCGCGCAGCTGACCCGGAAGCAGCAGGCGCGGCGTCATGTGACAGCCAACATGGCCGCCGCCCGGTAGCCGAAGCCGGTGCCGCCGCTAGCCTTTCGCACGGCCGCGATGAACCCGGAGAAGGACTTCTCGCCGCTGACGCCCAGCATCGTACGCGCCCTGAACGACAAGCTGTACGAGAAGCGGAAGGTGGCGGCGCTGGAGATCGAGAAGTGAGACAGGCGGGCTGGGGTCGGGCGGGCTGGGGCCGGGTGGGCGGCGAGGCAGGCCCAGACTCGGCTCTCTCCTCTTGCAGGCTGGTGCGCGAGTTCGTGGCGCAGAACAGCGCGGCGCAGATCAAGCACGTGATCCAGACGCTTTCGGTGGAGTTCGCGCTCTCGCAGCACCCCCACAGCCGCAAAGGGGGGCTCATCGGCCTGGCCGCCTGCTCCATCGCCCTGGGCAAGGTGGGCGCTGCCGGGCCGGGCCAGAGGCGGGCGGGCGGGCGGGGGGGCGGGCTGGCCAAGCTTCGGCTCCCGGCATCCCGCTGTGCTCGGGCTCCGAGGGCTCTGGAAGCCGGGCAGAGAAACCGGCAGGGATGAAGAAGGTTGACTTGTGGCTCTTGGCCAGTCAAGGCGGACCCCATCCCCGAGGGTCGAGGTGGGAGCGTGAGCGGGATTTGAGATGTGCCCCCTCCCACCCTAGGAGAGTCCGGGGTGGCTGAGGCGTTGCCCGCAGATAACTGGAGGGGCTCTGGGGTGGCGAGCTAGATCTGCTCCCAGCCTGAGATCCTGGACCACGTGACTGGGTCGGTGATGGAGTACCCCAATGCGAATGGAGTGATGTCTGAGGTGGCCTCCATGACAGTTTGGACCCCTTTTCCTTATGGGTTACCATGGTCCAAAACGTTCACCAATCACAAATGTTCATTTTGTTATGGGAAGCAGTCTACAACGCCAGGGCATCTGCTCGGCATGTCCTTGGGATGCCAGCAATGTCCTCTGGTGCTGACAGAGCTGGAATACTCATTGCATTCCAACCATCCCCTCCTTTTTTTTGTCAAGCTGCAAGAGAAGAAGAAATGTAGGTGAAAGTGTGGGTCAGTTTTGACATGCTGACCCCGTCCTCAGAAGAAGGGTAGACCTGATACAATAATAAATTACTTAACAAGCACCTACCATTGCAATCCCTATTGGGGCTGCTGAGGATATTTAGGGTGAAATCTTGCTGGCCTAACATCTAGAGCAGCCACCCACTCAGCATCCACTAACAGGGAGCCTTTCACTAGATATTACAGTTTTCCCTTGTGGTTTCTGGAATCAAGTATCCTTTTCACATAATGTTCTTCTCCCCTAACTAGCAGAGGAGGAGGAGGTACTTCCCTGACAGGCCTCAGTCCTGAGTCTCAAAAGAGTTTTAAAAGACTGCAATTAAATACTGGACCCTATATATTTGGGACCTTTTTTTTTTTTTACAAGGTTGCCTCTGGTTCAGAATTTTTGTGGACAAATACAACTTTATCCCCACTCTAAATTCTCTCTGGAGGGCATCTTGGCTAGGATCTGGACTGAAGGAATTCTTGGGCATGCCACAAAGTGTGCTTGTTTCAAGAACCGGTTAAACACAGTCCAGATTACGGTATTTCCAGCACTCTCAGGCAGCTCCACTAAGTGAAAAAGAAATATAGGTGAAAGTGTGATCCAGTCTTGATACTGTATCTTTAGTTGTGTGCCAAACCAGACAGTTAAGAGGTGCAAATGACAGACTCAATAATTCCTCTGTAGAACTATATCAACAGTTCCTTTGGAAGCCTGAGCTTTCTGAGATGGTGCAGGAAGAACATTCTTCGTTGTGGTTTTTTTTTTTTGAGGACATTTTTGATGTTAGGTATCAATTTCAAGTCCTGAGAGATTATAGAACCCAGAAACTGGGAAGGTCTTTACTGGTGAAAACTGTGTTTAATATTGTAAAAGGTGATAAAATAGGAGGGCTTCTTTTAAAATTTACTATCTGTACAGTTTTGAGTGTGTTCAGTTCAAAATTGTTCTGGCTGCACCACAGGCCAGTTAAGGTAAAATTAAAGGTAGAAGAAGTCTGCTTACAGTCCTGCTTTGAAGCATATGCTAGCTAGGCATTTGTTGGATTAAGTTGTTCAAGTCTGCTCTAAGTTGGAGCTATGAGGGGGATCCCATCTAACTGAAGCACTTTCTGGCGTGGTTACTTGGGAGGAGTTTGTTAATACTGAGGAAGTGGACAGGTTCTCAAAACTGTCAGCTCAGCCACCTGAATGTTTATTTCATGTCCTACTTGAGTAGCCAAAGTTTTCTTGGGGGAGACATGAGATTGGGCCCTTCCCTTATTTGAGAAAAAGAAGAGTAGTCCTGCCATCAGCAAGTCATTTCAGGTCCCAACCTTGTTAGGCAATTTTTGTCCGGTCTCCAACTTCCTTTCTACAGAAAATTGTTGAGAAAGTAGTCATGCTATAACTTCAGAGAACTCTGAGAAAATGAATCATCAGTCTGTTCATTGGCCTTCATATATGATTACAAACATTTTTCATACTTATGGGAGCAGGATGAGGATGGACATCCTCTCCTTGACTTCTCATTGGCCTTTGAAACCACTGATCATGATATCTGGACTGACTTGAGGACTAGTGTACATAGGTTCTCCTCTTTCTTCTGGGATCAGTTCTAGTTGGTATTGATGGGGTGGGGAGAAATAAATCACAGCCTCTTTTTTGGAGGCGCCTCATTGCTTGGTGTCCTTCCCATGCCTGTTTTAATATTCATATGAAACTGGGGGATAAGATGTCACCTGTATGCCCTGTCTGACAGAATGGTGCCATAAAGGTTCTGTCTTGATATCTGAATGGCACAGAGTAGGTGTGAGCACGACCATAACACTACTGTAGGCTCTGGCATTGTATCCAGCCAAGAGTTTTCCACGTCCATCAGTATTTCTCTACTGTGGTTATGGCACGCAAGCCACTTGGTGACAATGGATGGATTGCGCTAAACCTGAACAGAACTGCTTCTCAATTTGAACATCTGCCTCATTTCATCAGGTGGCAGCCATAGCAGAGGAGCTTTTGCACAGCTTTGTCTTGTTACCAATTGCACCCTGTCCTGCATTGTTCATAATTCATGCCTTGGTCACTTCCTCTCTGAGTTTCTGCAATGTACTCTATGTAGGGCTGCTCTTGAAAGCCATTGAGTTGATCCAGAATGCAGTGGCCTAGGCAGTCATAAATGCACTTTTATGTTCCTATGTCACACCTCGGCTTGGCAAGCTGTGTTGGCCTTCACTCTGCTTCTGGTGCAGTTCATGGTGTTGGTTGTTACCTCTAAAGTTCTTCATGCTCAGGACCAGGTGATTTCCAGGACCATTTCTCCTTGGTGGTTTCTAGCCATACTACTCAATCCAGCATGCTGTAGGTCCTATCAGTCAGAGAATGTTGTCTTGTGGTCTATTTGGGAGGTGCTATGTTTGCCCTTAGGAAGGCTGGACAAGGTGGTTGGAATGTGATTGACACAATCGTCTACATTAGTTTGGTTCTTTGGGTCTTTGATTTCGGCCCACAGTTCTTATTTATTTATTAATGAAATCTATACACTATCCAGTTCACAGTCTATGAGTGGTTTACAAGCCAACCCCACCCCACCCCCTTTAAAAATCTGTACAAAAGTCTGAGTTAAAAGCGGGGGAGTAACCTCCAGCCAGCATCCACCCCAGTGTTGCCATCCACTCTGTGCCAGTGGTCAGAGCCTGGTTTTAACGTTCTTCTGGAAGGCTAGCAGAGTAGGGACCAGTCTTACCTCAGGGGCAGGATGTTCTGCAGCAGTGGAAAAGGCTGTCTTTCTAGACCCCGCCAGCTGGAAATTTTTAACTGATGTGCCTTTTGTGCTTGATCAGGGGGACCAGTCAGTGTAGTTGCGCAAGATGGTTCCTCAGGTATCCTGGTCCCATGCCACTAAGGGTGATAACTTACACCTTGAATTGGACCTGGAAGCAATCTGGTACCCAATGCAGCTCATGCAACAGAGGTGTTGCACAATCCTAGGGGTGCCCAGAATTGTCTGCATCAATTGCAGCTTTCAGATACTCTTTAAGGGGCAGCCGCATGGAGAGTGCATTGCAGTAGTTCCTACAGAAGATGAGTAGGGCATGAGAGAAGAGCTGCTCCATCTAGGAAAGATCACAACTGATGTACAACACAAAACTGAGCCAAGGCCCTCCTGGCCCCGACTGCCACCTGCTCTTTAAGTAGGAGTCACAAGTCCAGGGGGATCTGCAGATTACGTGCCAGATACAGAAGAGCCTCTCACCCACAACCACTCTGTCTTCCCATGGCTCAGCTGAAGCCTTTCTTTTCTTCACCCAGCCACCCACAGCCTCCAGGCACTGTGAAAAAACACCCCCAGCAGCATCACCTAGTTCACCCGGGATGGGGGTGTACAATTGGGACAGATGAGCTCACCCAGCGGCTTCATGTCGATGTAAAGGGGAAGACGGAGCAAGGATTAGGACAGGAGGACAAAAGCCTACACTACAAATTAGGTTTTTCTCATGTCCTTTCTGAGAAGGAAGAATTTACTGAGAATTAGAAACGTAACAGAAAAAATAAAAACTGAGCTGTTGGTTCATGTTTACGAGCTGACCTTAAGCTAAGCTTGGATAAACTAAGAAATTGCTGAATCAAGCTGCTTTCTTCTTGGGGTCTCCATCAGCAATTGGGATGGTAGGGAGACAGTAGGACAGCAGCTGTTTGGAAAAGGGGCAGACCAAAAGCCGGACTTAGCTGCTCCTGTCCCCCACTCACTTCATGGGAGGTCTCAGCAGCGAGCTCTTCTGTGAGGCAAGCGCCCCTTTGAGTGA